ATCCCGTGCTCCAAATGATTCTGCCTCTATCACTGAACCTCTGCTGACCCACTCCCCTCCTCCTGCCGGCGTTTTGCCCCAACGATAAAAGAAGGGGGGGGAAAAAAAAAGCTGAAGGAGTGACACAAGCAGACACGGCATCAGCTGACGTTTATTGTTTTGTCATGCAAATAAACCATGTTTGCATTTGATAGGGAGAAACGCACAAAGTTCAAAAGAGGGCCTGTGTGCTAACGATGATATAAAAAGCAACCTACATTGATCAAGCGAACGATCCGTACGCACAACAATCAACAACCGCTGCTGGACATCCATGTATCTGCGAGGTTACATCAACAATCAACAGTAAAGTTGTTTGTAGTAAAGAAGAAGACTTCGTGTTCATTCAAACAAATAGAAGTTACTAAGCCTGCCATGTTAGCAGCTTTCTCTTGTTGCATTATTTTTTTTAATTTAATCTACACCTGTTGTTCTGTTAGCAGCTTTCTCTTGTTGCATTATTATTTTAAATTTAATCTACACCTGTTGTTCCCAAACTTTTTCTGCAGCGCCCCCTTTCACAGGCAGGCTAGGGTCAAGATGTTCTCCGCCCACATCTACAAGTTCACAGCTTTAAAACTTCACTGAACTTTACTGATATTCCTATTGCCCTTTTAGTGCCGTTTTCCCACTGTGGCAATAAAAAATATTTGATTTTCTGCACACTCCACGCAATAGTACCTACGCAGCCCCATGGGTGATGCACTTCAGCAAACACCAATCCTTAAAAAGGTTCAAACCCAAGACAGAGCCCAAGGTCGTCTGTTGAGATGGTTCTGGACCTCCCCAGATCCAAGGGCTGACAAAGACCTGAAGGACATAGCATATACTTTGAGTAAACACATACCACTATAAACTGAGGATGAACTACCATAGTTTCCAGATAGCTTGACATTGTTATTTTCTGTTATGTCTGTGTGTTCTGCTCAATCTTGCGTGATGATTAAACATGCTGCCTTTATCATAAAGCTTATTCTGTGTTTTTCGTTCTTCTAAGGTGTTGGGAATTGAGGGTACGTTAGGCTGGTCCACTCATACGCATCAAGCCCTGACATGCATTATCCTCTATTTTCCTCTCAATGGAGTCACTATTTACAAAGAAGACAACATGTTCTATTGAATTAAATCTAAATCTCGACCTCCAGATCATAAACTCTCCAGGAAAATAATTAATGCTATTGATCAATTTTCAAAAGTTTCACCCATGGACTGCCACTCATTCAAAGTAACTTTTAAAAACTAGTGTAATCCTTCCAGGCATGCTCCATGACTCCATTATGCAAGCATATATTGTATTTATTTATATTTAACATATTTAACTTAGGGTCTAAGAACTTGCCAAACTCGGTGTTCAGACAAAGTTTGTCGTCGAATCGTATTCATATTCAGTCCATATGTTTGAAGTCGGAGGAGAGCAGCTGCATGTTCTTCAAAGAGAGAGGAGTTTATAGCATGAATGAGGAACTTCAAAGGGTTTTTACATGCCACATCCTACCTCCTTCTACACATCTCACATACGTACATGTGCATATTGACTGCACTGTATTTACTTATGCATAAAAAAAAAAGTTCTGGGGGAAAATGAAAGGCGAGAACAAATTTCACAAGTTAGAACCCGACAGAAAGATTTACTGCTCACATCAGAGTGTTTCCCACTCACACACTGTGACATGATGCCTGGGCAAAGTCCTGATTGGAAAACAACGATCATAATTCATTTGCTCCTCTGAATACTAAGTGAGGCTGTGTGAGATGTGAGTGTTGCATCACATCGCACGTTCATACATTATAAGCAGAAATAGTTGGAACAGCACTTTAAAATATTTGGAAAATGCGTACAAACAAAATGCCAAAAAATTAATGTTTTTTTTTTACAAAAAAAAAAAAAAAAATCAATGTTAAAGTCAGCTGAAGTTACAACCCAATGAGATTAATCGGCCACATGGAGAAATATTAGATATGAGATTAATCGGCCACATGGAGAAATCTTAGATGATTTAGGACCTCCTTAAGATTTAGGACCTCCAGCAAGAAAGGGTATTAAAAATGAAGGCTCAGAAAATAGTGAGAGGTGATGCAGCACGGTGAATTAACATTCGCTGTTGATTTGTGTTGATTTTCGTGAGCACATGATGCAATACTACATTTTGGTTGCTTCTGTAAACTGACAATCTACCAGACATATCTGAGAGTGTGTGTGTGTATAATGTAGAATATACATTAGGAAATACATTGACCCGCACCTCCCAAACCAAACCACGATGAGGACAGCAGAAAAAAAATGCTCCCAGCCGGGCACTATATCAATCTATACAGACAGAAACAAACTGTTCTGCCACATTGGATAAAATACAAATACAACTAATGGCAACATATAAGACATAAAATAAACACAATTAAACTTTCTGCACGGTTAACACAGGTAACTGAACAGAAAGCGAGAGGAGCTTTCGCACTCACAGCACGATTCAAGTAGAAACACTTTCTTAAACCGTGTAGAGCTGTTTCCAAGTTTCAAATGAACGAATTAACACATACAATGTTGTCAATCGCTCAACAAAACAAGCGACTTGGTGAGGTGGGTAGCCACAGCGCTAAACCAAGAAGAGACATTATTGTCCGCCAGCGTATTAAGCGTTAGGGCGCTACTACAGTACAGCAATGGCGCTGGATGGGCCGATATTATTATTAGTCTTACCCTACTCCGCTGCATATTCAACTCTAATACAAGTTAAAGTGAAACCATGGATGTGAAGGAGGCCTCACTTTGTGTCTGGATGTACAGTTATAACCACTAGCGCTGATGTCTTTCTCTCTCTCCATATGAGACACATGCCTGAAGCCAAAACAGCCTTTCATCCTCAAAAAAAAAAAAAAAAAAAAATCCGGTGAATTATTGATGATCAGACCAGTGAGAGACACAGAAACACACACTGTGTTTTCCTGTGTGATGGCTGCCTCCCTCCCTCTCCCTCTCTCTCTGTAATAAAAACAGGTGAGTTTAATTCCTGCAGTAATTAGGTATGTAAATGTTCCTGCCAGCCAATCAGAGGGCGGAAGCCCACAGAGAAGCAGCCATTAGTTCTCAATGTGGATGAAAACAACCTTCCATCTTCCGTCTCTTTGTGCGTTGTGTTTTCCCCCGCTCGTTGTTGTTGCATATAACAACATTTCACACGTGTGATGCCACCATTTTATCTGTTTGCTGATGCAATGCTTGTGTTTACGATGAATCCCGACGGCGCCTCGACACTTCTTCACAGTCCTCACTTTTTTAACCATTTAAAGAAAACATGGCAGAATTGTTTGGAGGAGACAATTTAAACTTTCATGTGTATTTTTTCTACATAGTCTGTATGTACTGTATAGTGCTGTGTATTTTTAGTATAATTTATAGTATAATAAACTTTCATGTGTATTTTTTCTACATACTCTGTATGTACTGTATAGAGGTGTGTATTTTTTTAAAGTATAATTAAAAAAATATGCAGAATTCTTACTTTTAGAAATGTTTATTTGTCCTTTTAAATTATAATTGTGTACATATAATATTTATATTAGATTTGATACATGTAAGGTTATAAAAGCGCTCGGCCAGTTACCATGATAATTAATTAATCAACTGGCGTTAATATCATTAATCTGTCTTGGTCATTTAAACTCAACATCAGTATAATTACATTCAATTTAACAGTTAAACTGCTTCAGAAAGGGACAGTTATAAAAGAGAGATATCCACCAAAATGTTTTTTGATTACTATTATTTATCTTTATCCTTATTTGTTGCAAAAGCCAGCCCGTGAGACTGTGGTTGCAGAAATATAGATTTGGAAGTGCATTGATTTTCGCCTGAAGCGGCCTGACACAGTAAGATGTATTAGCATTGTTTGTTATTCTATGTTTTATACAGCAAAATACACTACATATCAAACTATAATGCTGGACTCTCCATCTTGCAGTTCACATGCATCTGCGTGCATATGAAAAACAACAACAAAAACCTTCTCAAAGAAATGAAGAAAACTCATTAGAAAGTGAAACTAAACAATCACTCAAGTCTCTGAATTCACTAGCGTGTTGCCTGCGAGCCTGTGGGAATGTGCCGTGCACTGATGTTTCTAATGAAGAGTGCTGAGCTGCATTGATCCACCAGGGATGAGAATGAGCTGTCAAAAGCTATCAGAGCAGTCGAAGCTCCACTTTCAGCTGTGCACAGCTCAGCCTGTGAGGAGCTAACCCTCCGGAGGAAAACGCTACAGAGCAGCTTTGATGCCTGCAGAGGGTTAACATTTGATTACTGGAGGAACTTTGGACAATTAAAAACATAGGTCTCAACCATAACAAACAAAGAAAGACCATTTACCCACAGGGCCCTCGGCAGCATGTTTCCAATTGAGAATCTAAAGAAATAGAACCGTACCTGCTTAGAAATGTTTGGTTTGCTTTCAAGTGTCTTATCCAATCGCAACGAGTCACAAAATACCATCCGAGGTTATAAAAAAAGATCAACTTTAAAGCCAGGTGCCAGTAAGAGCGTATATTTCAATTGATGTCTACTGTACTGTCCATAACACACTAATGTAGAGCGCACTGATTTGTGACAGCACACATCATTGCACAGATAAATCAAAAGCGGGATTAAACTGGATTAAAACAAAGCTCTGAGAAGGCTTTATTGCACATACAGTAGAACAAGTACATTACAATGGCAGTATTTCAGCTGCAGCGTCTTTTAGTGACACATTCTATATGGTATAAAACATTATGATTGGTTTTTATCGATATAATAATAAAATATATTACATTTATTATTATTAATATTATTATTATAATAATGAAATATTAACCAATTTGATTGTGACAAAGTTGATTGTAACAGGTCATGTGGTGTTTCCATGTATGCTAAAATTGCAATCCTTGGTTATTACTGACTTTGTGCAAACATTACTGCAGCAGTCTGCAGAAATAATTGTGCATAAAGGGGAAGAGCGGAACCTCCTTCTTCAATATTAGCGTCAGTGCATTTGAAACTGCCACACGCCTTTAGTGCAAGTCATAATTAAAGAGATGTCAACATCCCAAAAACACAACAGAAACACAACTAAAACACCCAGTAAATATTGCATCTCACGGATGGAGCTGGAGTTGTGGACCACAAGTCACAAAACTGTGTTGAGGCACGTATGTTGCGGTTTTCAGTTGGTTTGCACGGTGCAAAACAAGTGCAACACTGCACCTGCACTTTGATCTAATCCAGCTATATGAGGACAAACCTCAATAGCATTGAAATGGCAGAAAAATAAGAATTGACCACACCCTTCACAGATCAGCAAAAAAAAAAAAAAGAAGTCAAACCACACTAAGTAAAAATCAGTTTTTCTTTTACACTGACTGTATCCTGAAGAGTAATCTGTGGCACACACTAGTAATTATGGCCAACTGATAACCCTCCTGCTAATGCTGCACATGGCAGTTTTAATCAGCAATCTTGCAACTGGGGAATAATCTTTCACGTCACAAGCTCGTGAAAAGGGGAGCAAATCTCCTGCTATGCATGGACTTAAGACAGATTACGAAAAAAGCAAAAATGCAATGCGTCAATCGGACTGTTTCCGTCTTAACCCATGCGTTCACTGTCTGTGAAGCATGTTACAGCGCCGTCAAAGTCAAAGAAGCATGCAGATTCAGTATGACGTTTTTCCATATGGAAAGTGTTTACATAAGCAATTTTTCGTCATCATTGTGACATTTGCAGAAATATTGAGGTCGTGGAGCCACCGTGCTTCATGATGACTGATGGTGGTCTGAAGAGTTGTTCCACAGGAAACGACAGAATGCTAGTGGTTTTTAACAATTTTAGAGGGTTGGGTCAAAAAAGTTTCCTGTGGCATTTTCTCGGTGCCCCAGCTGTGCTGTGGCTTTGACAGTGTCAATCTAGAGAAGCCCACTGTTATGTCACTAGTGGGCTCGGTTTAAGCAAGTTCAGCTGAGAACTCCTGAACTCATAATAAACAGGCACACAAAGTAAAAAAAAGTGGGTTTAAAACCTTTGGATTTCTTAGTTTAGGCTTCATCCAAAAACCCAATGTACCGGTACTTTAAAAATAAGGCTAAATTTAGCCTAGTTCAAAATTACTTGCATGAATAGATTCATGATCAAATAGATGAAGATGCAGTCACCATTAGCCATGTACAACCTGTATTTTGCACCGACATAACAACAGGTGGCAGCTTCAGAATAATGCTGTATAATAATATACAAATATATTAAACCAGTCAGGATGTTATAGGTACGTTATCATTTGCTGTTACGAAAATTACATAAACATAAAATTTACATAAATAAAAACGCGTCTTAATGTTGCATTAAATGAACGAAAATTACATAAACATAAAATTTACGCGTCTTAATGTTGCAATAAATGCGTATCACACATTTCTGTGCCATATTTCAATATAACTATGATAAAATACTTTTATATAAGTTTACATTACTACTAGAGGAACCAAACATAGATATTAGCAAGCACAGCACCACAATGTAATCGTCTATTACATGTATCTATTTCATTTTAAACACAGCGAATGATATATAATTGTTATAGAACATACTAGAATAATTATATATTTAGCGTTCGTAGCATCACTCACCTTGTAGATAATGTGCTACAAGTGCAGAAGTTGCGTCTTGGCGACTTTTACGCAGGTTTCTCTGATAAACTAATTAGAGAAAAACTTCACATATCACTATCCCAAACCCAACAACCACCCTAGAATGGGGGTTTATTAATTAACTATCATGCAATTAAATAAAGTTGTTCAACGCTTTTCAGGGCTGCCTAACCAGCTCCGGGCGCTTTAAGCGGATATAAAAATTCCTGTCCCAAACGGGTTAGATTGGCTGCCATATGATTCTACGCTGAACCAACCAGAACATGCAGCAGTTGGGTACGCGCGTTTTATTACAAAGCGTCGTCCGGAGGTACAATATCAAATGCTACAGTGTACCCCACCCGGTGGCGCTAAAGAGAAACCATGAGCAAGTGCCACCAATGTTTTGCGAATGAACACACCGGGTGCTGTTTGTATGGTAAATGTAGTTCTTAAAAACGCCAACGGCAGTTCCTTACAACCAGTCTACACCGCGATAGAACTACAGCTCTGCCATTTGTCTCCGCGCTCACGTTGCTTGCATCAGCTTATATAGAGTCGATATTCGCCGGAAAGTTACCACTTTTTCTATTTTAACACTACTACATATTAACATTTGTCCGTCAGTACAGCATACAAGCCACACGTTTCCAAATGAAGCTGTTTGTCAGTGAAGGCAACCCACACTGTCTGAAGGTGTTGGCTGCCTTAGAAGAGACTGGAGCGAAGTGTGGGGTTGACTATATCAATCACGAAGGTAAGTACGCGTGGTTAACTCCATATTACTATGTTATACACATGGTATCGGTGTTACCTACTAACGCCTGACTACATGCTACATGTATCGTAATTCACCCACCGATTCAAAGCAATGACGGTTATTACTGTGTGATAAGAAGCTAATATGTAACAATGACAGATGGGGGTAAGGGACCCCATTGAAATTTCAAAATGTGTAACCATTTATCAAAATTGCTGCTTTTCACATTTTATTTTAATGATTGGCAACGATTAGAATGTTTTCATTTGTGGAGACGAAATGACAAGTGACGGAAATACATCTCGTATTCCAGTGATGCTCACACAACGAGGTAACAAACAATGAATTAACAAACACAATATTATTATTATTGCTATGCTTCCCACCCAGAGAACGTGGTTCCCTTTCTTAGCCGTCCAGCTATACCAGCCCTGCTCCTGCCTAGTGGTTCCCACCTCTTCAGCTCCAATGCCATCTGCCAGTCAGTGCATTTATCCTGTTAAAACAATCTACATATTTGTGAATTCCGATGTTTCTTTCAAATTTGTTATAGGGGACTATTCTTTTTTTAAGGATTTACTTTCCCTCCTAATTTCTTAACATCTTAGGTTTCTGTTTGAGGTAAATGGCCAAGAAACCCCTCCACTTTGTAACCAATGGCTTGAATGGGAGGCCACAGAGCTCCAGGTACGCTTCAACAATTTCAAGATTTTGTACATTTTTGTACAATCATAAGTATGTAATGGTATAAAAACATGGAATTAATTTACTTAACTCCATCAATTTCTTTTTGGTATTTTCTGTATGTCTGACGTCGTGACCAGAAACTCTGATTAATCCCTGTTGTGGTTTCTTCTCGCAGCCTGCGTTGTTTCAGGCTCTCTACATGGCAGTGGTGCAAGGAAAAGGTTCAGAGGTGTCGAAGGTCCTGCAGGCCCCCCTAAACTACTTGGACCAGGGACTGACCAAGGGAAATTTGCCATATTTAACTGGGGTACTGTGTCGCTTAATAATAATTTTTATATGGCTTTTTAATTGTACCATATGGTTTTGGTACCAACATCTTGCAATGCAGCAGAGAGACTTTATTTCATTTCTACATTTTCCAGTCAGTATGCCACCTGGTCTTGAACTTTTTGTCTGTAACTTTCTATTCAACTATGAAGGAGTCAAAAGTTCATAATGTTGAAACATCAACTGAATCAAACTGAGCTCATTCGTTGGGTCTCATCAAGCTCCTCTGGGAAGAATTTTTTTTTTCTCTCTCTCTCTCTCTCTGCAACTGATTCTGGTAAATTTAGTGGTAAATTTCTCAGATATAAATACGTTGTAAAAAAACCTTAAGAGATTTCCCTCATGTCAAAGTCAGACTTTTCCAGTCCCTGCAGCTACAAGTCACCTGTGACTGTCAGGTGTTCTATGTGTACAGTTAATTTTTATTATGATCAGTATGGGCTGAAGGCAGCTTTGTGTTAAGCTAAGGAAACCCGACTAATATATTCTGCCCATAGCAGCACTTAATTTTTTATTTAATTTAATTTTTTTTTTCAACTGTTGAAAATCTGCTGAATCTGTTTTTAATACTGTCATTGTTCTAATGAAAGTGAATTATTTGTCATTGTGACACAGCACACACAACAGAATGTGACCTCTGTTTTTAACCAATCACCAAAGTGAACAGTGGGCAACTTATACGTGCCCAGGAATTAGTGTGGGGATGGGTAACTTGGCAGTTGGTGGACTTGAACCTGTAACCTTCCAGACCCAAGTCTGATTCCTTAACCACTAAGCCACCACTACCGCTAAGCACATAAACTAATTATACCCCTCTTCTGTTTTTTTTTTGTTTTTGTTTTACTTTTTAGAACGCTGTCACAGTTGCTGATGTCGTTTTGTGGGCTGCACTCTACCCCATCTTGTCTGACTCCTCACTACAGCTGGGTAAGTAAAGTAAAAGCAGAAGTAAATTATTGTTAATTAAACATAAAGGTTCCATGTGGGATTCTGATTCTTCTTCCCTTCACTTTTTTACGTGTTCTTCGGATGTATTCCATCTTGTCATACCCTGTGTCATTTCTGTCTTCATACAGGTGAACACAAGTCGGTGCGCTCCTGGTTTGACCGTGTAAACGCACGGCAGAGCTGCCAGTCTGCTACTCAGAAAGTGTTGCAGGGGAAAGGCCTTCAGGGCATGAAGAGCTACCTGCAGAGACAGCCTGCCCCTCAGGTTAACCAGCCCCGAGACTCGCAGCCAAGCAACAGCCCCTCTGCTGAGGTGTTTTTCTCTAATCTATTCGATTACAATGCTTTTGTTGTTTCATTGCATTGACTGAACTACAGTATTTTACATTTACAAGAAAGGATATTAAATATGTAAATGGCTCCATGTTGAATTCTTTATCAACCAAACAGGTTTCACTTGTGAAGCAGGTGTCAGCCAAATTTAGCTGTGGGGTTACGGCCCCTGTTAAAAGATCTGTGACAGCAGATTGTTCATGGAGTCAGGGGGTTATGTGAGGTATTAAGGATGCATAACGATCAAAAATGCATTTTAAAAAAGCTTAATAACTACAGGGTTTCTTTGATTTTTGCTTTTTGACCAAAGAACATTGTCAGACATGTCATAACTGCAGCGACAAGTTATATCTTTTTTTTTCAACCCTCATTACAGTGGCTTTAATGTTTATGCCTGCTAATTAAACCGACTCGACGTCTGAAATTATATTCAGGTAGTGCGAAGATAATATGGGCATTTTGAAGTGGTTGATAATATTTTTTGGCTGAAATTGGATTTTTTTTTTAAATGTCACTAGTAAATACCATGACAAATGTTTTGTGTGTTTTCACGTTAGTGCGAGGAGGGAGAACGTGTGGTCTCAGAGGAGGAGATGGAGGCTGCTGCTCTCACCTGGAGCAAAGGTTTAAGCACCGGCCCTGTGCTGAAGGAGAGACAACAGCCCATGTGAGTGTGTATATAGGAAAGGGAACTTGTCATGTTTGACTGTCATTCCCTTTATTTCTATGTTAAATAAGAAACGAAAATGTTTCAAATCCAACATCCAGCAGATGGGACGATGTTCTGTGTTGTAGTTAGGAGCCACATTTGAGGTCTGTTTTTTTTTGTCTGTCGTCGCAGCTTGCCAGAAAAGGACAAGCGTAATGTCCTGGTCACCAGTGCCCTGCCGTACGTCAACAACGTCCCACACCTGGGTAACATCATTGGCTGTGTCCTCAGTGCCGACGTCTTCTCCAGGTCAGTGTTGTTGGTCTGTTATTTCTGTCGTTATCTTCTCTTTTGACATTGATATCGTCGGTTGACGTCTTCGCGTTTGTTTCTCTGTATTTGTATCCTCGTCTCCTCTTGTGTACCGCTCGCTCCCATCTGTTCCTGTTTTTTTTTTTTTTCCTGTCCCCCAGGTACGGCCGCATGCGAGGCTGGAACCTGCTGTATGTGTGTGGCACGGACGAGTACGGCACGGCCACAGAGAACAAGGCCAGAGAGGAGGGCCTGACACCACAGCAGATCTGCGACAAGTACCACGCCATCCACGCCAACATTTACAAGTGGTTCCAGATTGAGTTTGACTTCTTTGGCCGAACCACCACAGAGAAGCAGACGGAGTGAGTAGTCAGTTTGAATTCGGCCTCCTTCTTTTCACGTGGGTTGACTCTGGTTCTGATGCCGTGTGGGTTTGATGTGAAACTGTTGCTCTGCAATTACCATATAGTCTGTTGTAAAATCCACATAGGATTACTCTGTAATCTCACAATAGATACTGGACGTCTAGCCCTCCGAACCATGAAGTCTGCTTTGTTTAATCCCAGAGATTATGGAAGATGATGGTGGAATGTAGGTTATTCCTTACTATACAGAGGTTTAACAAATGTACAGACATCCTATTAAATGAATTTTGTTTCCATATTTTCTGTCTTGCTCGCCATGGCTGCGATAGGAAACATGTTTTTTGTGATTAATTTCTATTGTATTCCATCATATACAATCCTTATAATAATCAAATCAATTTTAGGCGCCTCAACTGTAATATAATGATGACATTATATAAAATATAAAATGTTACATATATATATATGATCAACTGTAATATAATGATGACATTATATATCATTATATATATATATAAAATGTTACATATATATATATATATGATTTTAAATAATCAAATGGCACTTTGTTTGAACATCATTATTACGGCAGCAGAGTCAAAAATGTTTGCGTCATTTTCTGGTAAACTTTCGAATGAATGGAAGCAAAACCCATTGTAGTCAGGTTTCAATGACATGTCCCCCATTTAAACCAGCTGTCAGTGTGTTTTCAGCCTCATTAAAAAAAAAAACTGGGGAAAATATGAAAAATTGCATCATGGATATGCCCCCCCCCCTCCAATTAGTCTTTTAACGATCTCATCCCCTCTCTGGTTTTTGGTTTCTGTGTGCAGAATAGCCCAGAATATATTCTGGAGACTCCACGAACACGGGTTCCTCATGGAAGACACCGTTGAGCAACTGCGATGTGAGAAGTGTCAGCGTTTCCTGGCTGACCGCTTTGTTGAAGGCATCTGTCCCCACTGCAGATACCCAGAAGCCCGGGGTGATCAGTGTGACAAATGCGGACGCCTCATTAATGCCGTGGAGCTCGGGGTGAGTGCGGGGCAGCGGGTGCCATAAATCTTAATAAAGAGCAGCAGGGTGATTTAACGAATGCCTGGGATCCAGGAGTAAATTTGTTGATAAAATATTATATTTGCCAACTACAAACTCTAACAGCAGAAAAACCTGCTCGAAGTACTACAGTGAAACACTAACATTTGTCTAATCTTTTTTGTAAGCAGAGAAACATAACACTTTGCCACTGACGCACAGAGGCAAGAATATCTGTTTTCAAGTGTGGCTTTGGAAAAAAAAAAAAAGACTAAATGCAGAATCTGCTGCTGAATATGCTTGACCTTTGACCCCCACAAACTACCATGCTACCATGACGGATGGGCTTGAGGAAATGATTGTCACATAACAGTGGAGCTGCCATGGCCGTAGGGCTGGAGCTGGAACTCATCTGAGATGAATTGCATTGTAGAATTGATTGAGCAACAATTAGTGGATAGGCTAATTATTGGATCTTACGTTCGCATCATTCTATCCGAGCGTTGGAATTGTAAGCTTATTAAGCTAAGAAAGTGTTGATTTCAACAGCTCGACTAGATATTCAGTGTCCTCAGTTTTGAATTTTAAATCACTTTTGTGGGAACCTCTTCAGAAATATCATTAACATACATTTCGCCAGAAATTAAAAAAAATAAATAAAAAGACAAATGCATCCTCACCACTCAGGTCACTGTCGTCCTCTCCCCAGGAGCCCCAGTGTAAAGTCTGCAAACAGACTCCAGTCATCCGCTCCTCCAAACATCTCTTCCTGGACCTGCCAAAGGTACGGAGCCGAATCTGCACTTCGTGTAACGGGTGTAACTGTAACAGATTAACTCGTGAAATGACATTGTTACAACCATTTACAGTTTGTGATGACGTACAGTATAAACGGCCAGGTGAGTTTTCATTCTCTTGCTTCACCTCCTGTAGCTGGAGGCTCAGTTGGAGCAGTGGCTGGAGACCTCCACCGGCACAGGAGACTGGACGACAAATGCCAAACAGATCACTCGCTCCTGGCTGAGGGACGGACTCAAACCTCGCTGCATCACCAGAGACCTGCAGTGGGGAACCCCCGTACCTCACCCCGACTTTAAAGAGAAGGTCTGCTGCCTTGAATTTCCCAAACGTTACATATCTTGTCGTTTTTTTAAACTCGGTATTTCTGCATGCTGTGGGGAAAACAAACTAGCCACATTAACGAACTGTAATGAAGCTCCGGGGCTCAGCTGTGCAACCTGCTGAGACGATAATGAATGTGGACTCGTAATGTCTAAGGTCAGGTTCCTAATTAAACTTTAGAAATGACTGCGCACTTCATTAACTGTTCACAAATATTGCGTTGACCGATGATAGCGCGGTGCCTCCTGGTAGTTGCTGTACTTGGAATTCTCCTGTTCTCTACTAGATAAACGTCAACGTAAAACGAAGGCTGTTCATCTGACCTTCGTCGTTACTGCTTCTGCTCCTGCAGGTGTTCTACGTTTGGTTCGACGCCCCCATTGGTTATCTGTCCATCACTGCTAACTACACTGACCAGTGGGAGAAATGGTGGAAGAATCCTGAGCAGGTAAAACCCCCAAGTCATGCATGTTGTGGAGCTTATATTTACTCATTATACACACACATTTTTTTAGTCGTCAGTGAAAATGACTAACTCGTATGACGCATAGTCATTTTTTGGAAAACAAATTTCTTATGTTTATTGTTCGTCTTACCTTTGCAGATCAGTAAAATTTATAAATTTGACTAGAACCTTAAGAAGATCCAACAGCATCTATCGTCTGAACTCTAACTGACTCATCTCATCCCTACATCTGAAACCAGGGGGGGGGCATGAGAGATGGGGAAATGGCGAGAGCTGATGAGTTCTCTTTGAACTGGATGAGCTCACGATGATCTAATATGATGTCATCCTCACACTCCGTCGTGTGCGCGTCTGTGCCACCAGGTGGAGCTGTACAACTTCATGGCCAAAGACAACGTGCCGTTCCACAGCGTTGTGTTTCCCTGCTCCCTGCTGGGAGCTCAAGACAACTACACGCTGGTCAACCATCTAGTTGCCACCGGTAATGTCATACTCGAATGAATTGATACAAGTTTATTGATTGTATTTAATTATTATTATTACATTTTACAACCATTCCTTACAGATATTACACGTAGGAGTGATCGTTAAATATCAGGCGTTTGGCTTCAACCGTTATTTGTCTCATCTGCAGAATATCTGAATTACGAAGACACGAAGTTTTCCAAGAGCCGTGGTGTGGGTGTGTTTGGAGACATGGCCAAAGACACCGGAATCCCATCTGACGTGTGGCGGTTCTACCTGCTCTACGTGCGTCCAGAGGGGCAGGACTCGGCGTTCTCGTGGGCAGACATGGCTCTGAAGAACAACTCTGAGCTGCTCAACAACTTGGGGAACTTCATCAACAGGTGAGCGTGAAAACTGGGACACGGTTTCTCACCTTGTATTGCTTAAAACTGGGACACGGTTTCTCACCTTGTGTTGCTTAGGTTTTCTTTTTTCTTTTTCCTCATAAATTAAAGCAGCTGCTTGTTATTAAGCACGGTTCAAGTTTCCAGATTGTTGCACTGTTGTCACAGCAGATACTAAAACAAGTTTACCCCAGTTTTCCCTATTTTGTTTGTGATGGCGCAACTTAGCCTCGATTTCATTGCCTCGTAGGATGTTTGAAAAGATCTGGGTGGAATCAGACATCAAAGATTTTTCTCGCCGGCTATTTTTCAAAGTACCTTGATCTTCAAAATTGGTCTCAGGCATCAGCGTTGATGTCTAATTGATTTAAAAATAACTTTGCCATCAGATTCAGTCAAGGTGCTGCTTGGTTGGAATTGTTCTGAAGCTGGAGGAAAGAAATTTTGTTCTTGGTTGAAACATGTCTGTGCTTTATTTTTCTCGATCTTTTCTGCACTTTTGTTTTTTAAATCAGTAAAGGCCACATTTTCCATTATTTCCACATGTAATTTTCTTAATATTGTCTAAATTTCCCTGATGAGATTTCTTTATTTTCACCACCTCTGCCGCAGAGCCGGGATGTTTGTCACCAAGTTTTTCGACGGCTGTGTGCCCGTGATGGACTTGCAGCAGGAAGATAAGAAGCTGCTGGCCATGGTGAGCTGGGAGCTGCAGCACTACATCCAGCTCATGGACAAAGTCAAGTAAGATCTCTGCGGAGTCTGCTGCAAAAGCTACAGATTGTAACTTTTTTCTCTCTTGCACATGGACAAAGTCAAGTAAGATCTCTGCTGCGTCTGCTGCAAAAGCTACAGATCGTTAACTTTTTTCTGTAGATGTGTGCCAGGTTCTGTCTTGCGTGTTGCGTTTTGCGAAACTAGCATTAAGTGAAATCATCACTGTTGTGTGTTCCACCAGAATACGCGACGCTCTGAAGCACATCCTGAACATCTCTCGCCATGGAAACCAGTACATCCAGGTCAATGAACCCTGGAAAAAGATCAAGGGAGGAGACGCAGACAGGTGAGATGGATTTTTTTTAAAGTTTTTATAGACTGTAGAGAAAGTTGTGGGATGCGATTTAAATCAAATTAGTCTTGATCGCAATTAATTGCATTTTTATTATAGAGCAATTCTTGGTACAATAGCAATTACACCAGAACTGCTAACATTAGCGCTAACATTACAGTGGGCTTGAAATTATGCCTGGTTAAAAAAAAATTGGCTAATATGTCGTCAGGAAGTCAAGTTCACTAAGTTTCTTGCATTCGTATGTTTCTCAATGTGACCTGTGCATTACTGCCATCTACTGGGCTGGAGTGTATCCGTTTGTGTAACCGGTGTTACACGAATGAATCACCTTTGTCTATTGTATTATTTTGTGTGTAGTAAATAATTGTAATTAACAGATTAAAGGCTGATGTGAAGAGACTTTATTTCTCCCAGGTTTGGGACTAGCTTCTGCGTACTGGTAGTAAACCTCATTAACGACGGCCCTTCACTTTCCTGTCTCTTCAGGCAGCGTGCCGGCACAGTCACCGGTGTCTCGGTGAACATCGCCTGCTTGCTCTCAGCGATGCTGCAGCCGTACATGCCGACAGTCAGCCAGACCATCAGAGACCAACTGAACGCCCCCCCAACCTGTGTCCACACCATGGTCCAGGGCAGCGGCACCTTCGCGTGTTCTCTGAGCGCAGGTCACCGCATCGGCACTGTGAGTGTGTACCCCACACACTCACTCACTTCATACATGCAGTGCAGACACTGTGTTTAAGCTGGGTGATACAACACGGATGCAACATGCTCACTGCCCTAATAAAGATTGGAGTTGTGTTAACACACACATTCACTGTTAGGAACAAATAGCCTGAACGGTGTTTCTAGGCTTCGGTCCTTCCAACAGCAACTTTCTCTCAGGCCACTTGTCCCTCCAGGCCTAATCACTGCTGCCTGTGTCTGCACAAACACTGAAGACAGGAACCAGGGTTATGGCTGCGGACCGGTGTCTCCAAAAACAACCAGCAGACAGCATTGTCTTTAAATAGTAGGGCTGCCGAAGTGAAGCACGAAAATTAATCGGATTAAATTGAACCCATTTTAACACATGGGCAGAATGACACTCCACAGTCAAAACACATGATGCTAGTTTTAATTCCACTGAATTGATTAGGATTACGATTCATTCTAATTAATCTAGATTAAACATCATCAGATTCAATCAGCAAACCTTTTTTTTTTGTTTTGTTTTTTCTTTATATTCCCAGGTCAGTCCATTGTTCCAGAAACTGGAGGCGGACCAGATTGAGGCTTTGAAAAAGCGATTTGGTGGACAGCAGGTATTTGATGTTTATAATGTCTAATAGTCTTCAAGTCCATTTTCCGTGTAGGTATTACACAGCCTTTTTCGCCGTGTTCTGACGCACTTCTCTCAAAATTAAGAATTTAAACTTGAGTGTTTGCCTTCTGACGAGTGATGCAGACAAAGATACCAGTTACATATGAAACGTCGGTCGTGCACATGAGGAGTAATCACTCTTTATACCTTCTCTTCAATCGCCTGCTTTCAGCCTGAAGATGAACTTCCTATGAATAAGGTATTGACTGTTGATTTTCTGCGTGCAAACTAGCGATGCTGTGTCAAAACTGCACGTCTTTCACTAACCCTCGACAACAGGTCTTTATCTTTATCTTTTAGTTTAGTTTTTTTTTAATCGTCTTCCCATCTGTGCCTTGTGTTCGTTGTCCATTTACACATCATGTCTCATGATGGGTATGAATTTGAGTTGAAAAGAGAAATAGGTATAAAAATTTTTTTTTTTAAAAAAGGGATTCAAACATTCTCTTTTTTCTTCTCGTCTTGTTTTCAGGCGACAGCTCAGAAAGCTGTCAGTCCGGCGGCAGCTGCAGTGCCGGTCGCTGCTGCTGCTGCTCCTGGTGCTGAGCCAGCCACGGCCAACGGAGTGGACCCTGAAAAGGCCAAGCAGCTTAGTCAGGCGGTGACTGAACAGGTGAGACAGCTGTCCAGCATCAGTGATGATCAGCATTAGTGCTGACTTAGTAACGGAGCAAAAATAATGAACTCAATTTAACTTTTATTGGCGCTTTAAACCACACCGCATATGTAGTTTCCAGCTGTTTACATTTTTTTTACACAGTCATTTCTGGGTTGAAACATATTTTCGGTAAAATGTCGTATATCCTCCTGTCCTGTTTCATCATGGGGTTCTTCTCACAGGGGGAGAAGGTGCGAGCGCTCAAAGCCCAGAAGGCTGACAAAGCAGCGATCACAGCCGAAGTGGCCAAACTGCTGGACCTAAAGAAACAACTGGCTGTGGCTGAAGGGAAGAACCCAGAGCCTGCGCCTCAGAAGGGCATTTAGAAGTGAGACAGAAAAAGGAAGGGAAAAAAAAAAAAACACGATTTCAGGTTATAATAATGGAGAACGGGAACAAGAGTTGCACCAGAAGATAAGGGTATTAGCTCATGGCTAAGCCCTAACGGGATCTAAGACCGTATAACGGTACCGAGGACTAATGAAATGCCGGATGGGCGAACGGGGAAATTAGAACATACAGAGACGGAGTCAAATAAATACAGCATCAGAATGGAGGGATTTTCTCCTAAATCCTTACACCAGAGGAAACTGTAATTTTATACCTTTCCTGTGATCAGGTCTGCATAACAATCATGGAAACCGAAGGTGTGTCGTGCATTTACAGATGTTCTTTTTTATATCTACATCTCCTGGGTTATTTTTTTTTTTTTTTTAGTCTTTCACTAAAAGTATCATGTTTGGTTTCAAATAATAAATTAAGTTAATGCAGGGAAAAAGTTGCATTTTATTATTTCCGAGTCACATAATAACACCCACATTCCCAACAAACATCAATCAGACAAATGTCACAAAATGTAATTTTTATTGCAAATTTGTGATTACAAGAAAAGGATTAACTCAAGGTATTAATGTCGTCTGTAATAAAAGCCATGCACATTGTTCTACGGTTTACATTTTCTCCGACTACAAAACTGAAATTCTGGTGGGTTACAGTACAAGCCATTACAGTACACTTGTATATTACAGTCGAGTATAAAAATAAACCAGGATTACATCAGGGCAGAACAGCTACATGATTCTACCACAAATTCCCATATTAATAGAAAAGGTCAGCTTCGAAAGAATAGCCGGGTCCTATTTGTTTTTTGTTTTTCTAAAAATACACTGATAAGCATACAAACGCACAAGCCGTGGGATATAAAAGTAAGAAAGGGTTGGAATTCTCTTTTCCCAAAAAAAAAAAAAAAAAAAAAATCATTCTCTCATACACAGAATTGGGCACTTCCAAACTTTTCCTGAGCTTCTGAACCCGCCGTGATTTGGGGGGGAAAAAAAATCTCTTCTTGCCAGGCTGCAGCCCTTAAAGTAGATTTGAAGTTTATTGCATCATGGTGGGCACAGGTGATAATGAAATGCCCTCTGTCTCTGTGTTAACATCCTTCTTGTCCTACATACAAATCTTCAAACACTCACTTCTGACTTTCAACCCTCTCGTGATGAAACGTCAGCGTTCTCCAAATCGACCATCCTATCAGAACCGCTAAGTGAAATGCACTTAACGGCGTCTGTCCTTTCTTTTCCATTGCATACACATACTGTCTCCTCCTTTATTTGCCGCATTGCTGTTGCAGCCTTGACTCTCTTGGCCTTAAAACTTTCATCACTTCCTTCTCAACATCTTTCTTTCTCTATGTATTTTCCAGGATCCCCTCTTTAAAAAAATTGTATCTTTGGTTTTTTTTTCTCCCATCCATTCCTGTCTGGAGGCATTTCATCACCACTGTGTTACACCTTCCCCACCACTGCGTTTTCTATGTCTGTAGGCCTTATCAACTTTTACTGTCTTCCCCAATCCTATCTTTGCTCATTTCCTGGTATTGACTAGTCTTTCTATCAAGGCTCTTCGTGTCCTCTGTACTTCTTCTCCCAACCTTTCAATCTCTGCTTTCAAACGCTCATTCTGTTCCGTCAGCTCCTGCACCTTCCTTTCGTTCTCTTGCTCTCTTTCTTTTCGACTCTTTTTGGCAGAGGAGTAGGACGGGGGGGTGCGCTGTGTGGAAGGATGGAAAGAGGACAAGGCACTGTTGTCCCTCTCGCTGCTGGTCCTCTTGCGTTTTCCCAGGCGAGAGGACAGGTAAGCGGAGGGGGACGATACGGACGAGGAGGGCGAGGAGCAATTCTGAGATGGTGACTGGGAGGCTGAAGATGAGCAGGACGGAGAATCGGGGACACAGGGCAGTTCTTCTTCACTGGCTGAAGGAGATGCAGGATGGGGATTGTGAGCCTGCTGGTGCTGATGGTGGTGGTTGTGGTGGTAGTAGTAGCCACCACTGATCACCACTCCGCTGGCATCCACCATCCCCACTCCTCCTTCACTCAGCAGCTCAAAGAACTCCGGAGGCAGCAGGTCGCTGCCGCCTCCTCCTCCTCCTGCTGCTCCGACTCCGCTTCTCCCACTTTCAGCGTCTCCCCGCAGCTCTTCTGCAACAGCTGGACTCATGCAGGAGGAGGAGGACGACGACGACGTGTGATGCAGAGGGTGGGTGGTGTGGACCTCCTCTGCTGCCCTCTGGACACCATCACCCCACGTCTGGGTTCCGTCCGTCAGCCACGTCAGAGAGCAACTCTCCAAAACATCCATAAACTCCGGCTCCCTCTACAGAAACAGGATAGAAACGTCAACCTTCACTGAAGACCTCGTATGAAGTATGAATGAAAACACACTCATCGTGGGCGTGAAAGCCTTTTCTCTCTGCCAGCTACTGACCTCGGTGCATGTGGGGGCACGTGCCAGTTTTGCCCCTCCCGTGTCGGAGCCCAGAATATCCTGCAAGTCCTCATACCACGCCTCCAGCTCTGCACCACACAACGGCCCCACGCCAGGGGGGTATGGCGGGGGCAGGTGAAGCCATTCGGCAGTCATCTCGCCAATCGGTTGCAACGCACAGATACTCGGCCACACAGTTCACACCGGACCTGCGAGGGGCAGTAGTCGCACACGCACGTGCAGTCGTTTAGAAAACCATGAAACAGAACCGGGTGACAGACGACGGACACGTCACAAAAACTCCACCTCCTTTGTTCGTCACGATTCTCTACGGTCCTGTTGTAATTTTAATGTGTGGCGTTAAGGAGCACTAATAAATGCTGACTTAATATCGTACAAGGTTAACGTTGTTTTGCTCAAACACTTAAAACAAACAACTACCCGAAAATTAAAGAACATTGTTCAGTTTACCCAAAAGTAAATTCTTCAACACGGACACTAGGTGTGTAGATGAATGAACTGCATCGCATTTATTTGTGAAAAAATCTGATTCAATGAATTAAAAAATAAAATGAACACACTCATTTATGACAAAATAACATCACACAGATACCAAAATAAAAATTTTTCCCAGAAATTGTTTACCTTTAGAAAGGCTCCGTTAATCAAGTATGCCAAGTTGTTGGAGATAACTTGTCCCAACAATTCTGAAGAAAGAAAAAAAAGAAAGAAAAAAAAAATCAGATTCATTTCAAAAAGCTGAATCACAATCAAAAACAGACAAACCCTAAAATTAATTTATTAATTATTCTGAATCACAAAGCACAAATTCATAAAACAATAAAAATCACAATAAATGTACAAATTTCTTATACTGAATTTGTGCCAGAAAATATTGTAAATCTTTCGTAAACAAAGACCTAAGTGTTCTCTATGGCGCCCCCTGGTTTCTACGCTCCACAAAAGGAGGATTTTTCAAAAAAAACAAGTGGTTTACGGAAACTGAGTGAATCTTTTCTGCGCCTCAGTTCCGTGGCGAGAGCTGTACGCTAAAGGTAAATGGACAAGAATCCGCACATTAATGCGTCTTGTCAATGGAAATATATATACACGACAGTTTGTTACAACAATAGAAATGAATCTTCCTTATAAATGTGGCGTTGACAGAACAGTGGGTTTTCACTCTCCTAAGTGATGGAGGAAAACAAATAAACAAAATAACTTGGCCTTTTCTTTACAGAAAAACAAAAACATATCCCATGTCAATTTAACTTCAAACTAAGATTATGACTTAACATGGATGGATTTGTTATCGGCTCGTTTTAAATATTTTATACAGTTTCTCCTGTGAGAATAATGTCCACTCTAAGCCAAGACAATTACGTCATGGAAACATTAAGTCCAGCAGGAAGAATGGGCGAAACAAAAGGAAACGAAGAGAGGAAAAACACAGCGGACCATATGAATGAAGAAAAACTTTCTAATTTAATTTTATACTAATCACTTATGTTCTCTGAATAAGAATAAATCTGTGCGCAAGAATGAAAACCCTCCCAAAGCGCAGCTGTCAAAATAAGATGCCATTGAGTTTTGACGCCACAGTCGCCAGTGAACTGTCATACGACACTAACAGCAGACCAGAGTCGATACGTTGAATTAACTTTCAAATTAAATGGCAAGAAAAAGAAGTGATAAAAATAAAATAAAAACACATATTTTAATGAATGATTTCATAGTGTTGCCGGACGCTCAGGACCATAAAGGTGAACTACATTCAAGTTCGTATAAGCAAAACAACTTAGCAAACAATGCAAAAAACGCAGAAAAAGAAATACTACACATTGACTAAAAATTACTTTTTTAAAAGTCATTCTGGCATCTGTCAAACACACACACGTTTGTATGGTTGAAAAACATGCCCAGGCACCGCACCTCTCCAAAGTAAGGGACATGTTTTATTTAGAATAACGTCGAAAAACATCTACCAAGTCCGAGATAAAGTCGTTCAAATGAAACCCCACTTACCCTTTTTCTTCTATTTGCTCGCCTTCTCGACTGTCTTGAACTCGAATGTGGATAGTTTAGTAAAAATTGTCGATTATTCATGTTAACCATTGTTCAGTCTTGACGCCTGAATGTGCTTTTTCGGAAACTCCCGGCCGTGTTTATATCGAGGGAGCGGCCAACCGAACTACGCACGGGAAGGCCGATTCATTACAACGAAGTGTCAACGTCACGAAGTGACGGTGCAGCCTTCCAATCAAAACGGCGCAGTTGAGATCTTCTCCTTGACGACATCCAACGGAGTGGCTTAAAATCAGCCAAAGGGCGGGCTGTCTGGTGTTCGTCTCCACTGCTGGTTCCTACAGTTCCAGTCTGTATAGTTTGGTCGAGAAGCAATTGTGATGCAGTCATAAGACGGCCAGGACGAATTTGGGGCGTATGGGAGTCACATGAAAGGAATGATGCAATGCTTGGCAACCAATTTCTAGCTGGGGATAACACCAGCAGAATCAGAACATGTTTTATTAAACAGCGTTGGCTCTAACGAAAATCTAAAAATATACATATATGCAAGGATAAGGCGTCTAAATTCGAACGCTGTTTATTTCCGGAAAACAAAGGCTGAATCAACATTCCGTCAAAATTGAAAAAAGTGTTGTTGTTTTTTTAAAACAAATTAATTATTACATTATATTTTATATTATGTTTTTCTCCTAGACTTACTGTTTAATTTTAAAAAATGTTTTTGATTACAGGTGTTTCTATAAAGTTCGTCCATACCACCTGACTCACCGACGCACTGCTATTTTACCGCAAACGTGCAGTAAACGGGTAATAATAATAATTACCGCCGCCTCTAAGTGGCGATAATAGGGTGGGATTATGTGGAACAGATGTCCGTTTTATTATTCTTATAATTTCAGGCTTGTGCGAAGAAAAAAAATCAACACACACTTAGTGTGCACGTGTTGTGTGTCGCCGCAGTCATTTCGTACTGCCCGCTTTTGCACAGCAGCTCCCAGAGACATTTGAAGAAAAAAAAAAAGAAAAAAAACAACAAAACTACGTCTGTGGATGTGCTGAGTGGGATTCAACAACAGACTGTCCCCCCACCCAACCGTGCTTTTGATGTCCGCTTATATTGTCAGCTGTAAATGATGAAATTCAGCAGATTTTTTTCCTTAGTCCTCAATT